TCTATCCACTGTGCCACCTAGCTGCCCCAAGACTATCCTAAATTTGGAAATAAGTTCAGGAGGCAGGATAGGGTTGAGTATAGATTTCTGTAAGTCCCCTTTTCTCCCAGTGCCACATTAGTAGTTAAAGTTTGCCAAGCCTGAAACCCCCCTGTATTTTGTTGTTACATCTGTCGCTATATTTCAGTCATGATGACCTGGCTACAAAGCATAGTGTCTAGCTTGACTCCACATTTTTAATTGCTTCTTTGATATTATTTCAGCAAATTAAGAAATATAGATATGTATATTGTTTCCTTCGTTCTGTGGTAGAGTTTCAAGTTGAGATTGTGAGCCAAGCAGCAGACAGTTGGTGGGAGGGGACTTTACCGTTAGGGTTATTTAATCTGGCTTTTTTGCTTCTGTCTCTGTCTCCCCTCATCAGATCATCCTGGTGGAGGGACACCCTATTCTCGAAAATAGCAAATAAAAATTAACTTTCTGTTTCTCCTTGAAAAACCTCCAAGAGTGTGTTTTTTTTTTAATTTGAGTTGCATTCCACACACAGGTAAGAGCAGAGAAGGGAGGTGGGAAAAATCTGGGGTTTTATGAGAGGACGTGTGGAGGGAGGGAGAGATGAGAGAGCTAGGGGCCATGTAGGGTTGAATTTAACCCTAGGTTAGACATAGGGAAGGGAGGTAGGTGAGGCTACAGCAGGGGTAGGGATGGGGAAGAGGAAGGGGTAGAGGGATAGAAGACCCTTTGAGAGTCTTGTCTCTCCAGGAAGATCTTCCCCAACTTAGTTCTGAGCACAGAGCTAGGCACACGGAAACAGCTCTGAGGATTTTGGATCGCAGGTACAAGGTTCAGGGTTAATTTATGCTGCCTGGCCTATGTCCTAAGACACACGGGTCCTGAATATTTGGGAGCCCACTCTCCTGAGAGCTTTCTGAATTTTTACAGAAACACAAGGAGCTTTTATAGGCAGATGGCGGGAGAGGTGAGGTGAGGGGCATGAATTGAAGATTCCACTTCAGCCACCTACGGCTCACTCACAGGAAGCCGTGGCTGAGGCCCAGGGAGAACCCGAGTTTAAACTTGCTCCCATGAGGTCATCTGATGAGGGCAATCTAAAAGGCTCTTCCCCTAGGCAGCAGTATTGCATTTACTGAACAGCAGTCCAGCAACTGTACTGCATTTACTCACATAATCCCTCCTTTGTTCAACCTTCCTTTTCAAAAATATTCTGCCTTCTGTATCTGAGGGGGATGTTTCAAGAAAAGGGTGTTACAAACCATAAAAGCACCCCAGAAATTCGAATGACAATTACAAACCACTTCAGGGTCTAACAATTAGAAACCACTAAGGAGCCCCCTTTTGCTCTGGACCCATACACAGGGTCCTGACTTAGCTTAATTCTGTATCAAATTCTAGGATCTCTCCAAAAATGGGAGTTAAAAAGGTGTATAACATAAATCAGGTGTGGGACAGGTATTTATTTCCTACACCCAAAAGAAATGCTAACACAAGAGTGCGTTGGTAGAACAACTTAAAACATGATTCAGTAACTTGTAACTTTCCCAAGAGGCTGAAACTTAAACCTCAGTAGAACATAACTGTTCCGCAGAACTGTGGAACTGCTGAATAGGCATTGTTCTATTTCACTATTGCTCTTCCCTGCCCCCCTCACGTTAGGGGTCTTTCTGCAAACAGGGGCAGGTCTTTCAGCAGACAGAGCTCATCCTCCCAGTGATGGTCTTCCCCTCCAATATCTCTGGAGTAGCTGCCAGGGCTTCCTTTCAATGGGCAGCCAGCACTAAGTGAAGACCCAGGACCTTCTGAGATCAGCTCTAAGCCTGGGTGTATCCATCCTGAGATCCATGTTCAGTCATGTGAGATCAGAGAAGGCAGGTGGAGGCCCAGGCTCGAACTTCCCTTTCAGGGCTCCAACTGCCCCCCAATAGGGGAACGGTTGATCTCCCACTCACAAGATGTCTCACAGCAATATGGTGCCGCCTGGAATATTGAAGGAGGGTGAAAGCAGGGATGTAGCCACTCCTTTTTTAAAGGTTCACTGGGTAATTGAGTCTTCCTGCTCCGTGGCCAATAAATTGCTTCATCACCCCTAAAGAACCCAAATGTTGAGCTGGTACATGGGGTTGGCTGGAAGCAGGTAGGGAAGCTCTGCTACCCCCCCGGTTACACGAGCTATTACTGTTATTGTCATCAACATCTTCCTCACCACTACCACCACCACCATCCTCATCACCGTCATTATTGTCGCTAAGCAGGAGCAGGAAACAGCTCTTGGGGAGTCAAGGTTTAGTTCCTAACCTTAACTTACTCTGTGATCTTGAGAATGTCTATTCCCCTCAGCCTCAATTTCCACAGCTGTAATAATAAAAACACTCTTCTGTGGTGCTTTAACGTTTATAAAGTACTTAACTCACACCAGTACTAGAGAAGGTAGCGTTATTAGTCCCATTTCAAAGATGAGAAAACTGGGGCTGAGAGAGGACAAGTGATTTACTCATGGTCACATGACTAAATAGGTAGGATGTGAACTCAGCTGATCTGCCTTCATTTTTAGATTACTTAAGGGAGCTTGGCTGCCTCAGTAGAGCCCTTAGGCTCTATGTCCTAAGATCCTTTCTAGCTCAGTCTCTGTCCCCCTGTGGTTATGCCAGTGTTTTTTGCTTTAATGCTTATTCTGAAATAACTCTTTAAGGAAAGACCACTGACTTCTGCTTTCTGTCTGTCTGTCTTCGGTGTAACCCTGAGCAGAAAGAGCACTGGATCTTAGAGTCAGGGACTTGAATTTGAATCCTGCCTCTGCTACTAATTCGCTGTGTAACTTTGAGCAGATCACATAACCTCTCTGGGCCTTTCTCATCTGTAAAACAAGGGAGGTGGATGGGATAACCTCTAAGGTCTCTTTCAGCTCTAAAACTGTGCTCCTGTGTCTCTAGCGCTTCACAAATGTTTACTTCTTTTTTTTAAATTTTATTAATTTATTTTGATTTATCAACAATCACTTCCATATGCTTTTGAGTTGAAAATTTTTCTCCCCTCCCCCCTCCCCAAGACAGCCCACAATCTGCTATAGGCTTTACATTTACATTCCTATTAAACCAAACGTTTACTTCTAATAGACACTTTGAGTCCACTTTTAAACACTGAGATCTCTGTTCCACTCCTTCCTTCACATACACCACTTTCTTTTCACAGTTAGAGAATCCCAGAGCTGGAAGGGACCTCACAAGCCACCTAGTCTTCTTACACCTTATAGCCTCCATGTACTCCTCACCCAAGACCCTCCATCTCTCAGCTCTGAACCTTTTCCACTGACCGTCCTCCAAGCCCGAGAAGCTCTAGCTCATTATTTCTCCCTTCTGTATTCCTTGGCTTCCTTCAAGTTCCAACTAAAATCCCACCTTTTCTAGGAAGCCTTTCTCAGTCTCTCTAATTCAAGTGCCTTCTGTCTGTTAATTGTCTCCTGTTTATCCTGTATATAGTTTGTACATATTTGTTTGCTTGTCTTCTCCATTAGACTGTAAGCTCTTTGAGGGCAGAGTGCACGGCATATGGGAAGAGTTTTATAAATGCATATTGACTGACTGATCTAGTCTAACACATCGCTGTAGCGTGGACTCCCTCTACCACATCCCTGACATGTTTCTGCTTGATAACCTTCAGTGACGGGGAACTCATTACCTGTCCGGGATGGAGAACTTCAGCCTTGAGGCCACATGCGGCCTTCTAGGTCCCTGGGTGCCTTTTGACTGAGTCCAAGTTTTACAGAACAAATCCTTTTATCAAGGGGATTTGTTCTGTGAAGTTTGGGTTCAGTCAAAGGGCCACACTTGAGGACCTAGAGGACCATATGTGGCCTCAAGGCTGCAGGTTCCCCACCCCTGACATTTATTCCTAGTGCTTTTCCTCTGTGATCATCCACCATTTATACTTCATATGTCTTGTATGAATATATACATAGTTGTTTGCATGTTACTGATGGGGTGCTTGGGTGCTTGTGCTTGTACTTGTGCCCCAATTTCTCCCTAGTCTCAGAAACACTGTCTCTGACAATCACCCCCCAGCCCAAGGACACTGTGCCTAGCAGTTATTCATGCATGGGCCTCAGCATGACCCTTATCTCTCTCCCTGGTACAGCTACACAGAGCTGGGCTCCTCAGGCCCCAGCCCTCAGATCATGTCTCTGGAAGCCTCCCAATTCCTTAGTAAGTTCCTGTCTTGTGAGAAAGCTTTCCCTTGTTCCCTCAAGACAGAGGGAGAGGGGTGCCTTGGCCAGCCCAAGGAGTTTTGTCCTTGGCCAGCCCAAGGACTCTTCCTCCTGCCAGATTCCTCCGTCATCTCCCTCCCTGTCTGGTATACTCCCTCTACTTTCTCATCCATAGCTCCCAAAGACACCTGGACCTTTAGATTACCTCATCAGTGTCCCTGGCATTCCTTTCCCATGCCCTTTTCCATATAAACCCTAGCTCCATCCTCAGTCTCTTGCAGGTTCCTTAAGAAACCCTGTCTGCTGAAAAGCATAACAATAAATCTTTGCCACCTTGACTTGAAGAATGCTTGAGTCTGTGAATTCATTCCAGATGACCCAGCCTGTAGTCTGGTGTTTGAGGGGTCTCAAACTCTCAGACTGCAACATTACCTCCCCCATTAGATTGTGAGCTCCTTGAGGGTAGGGACTGTTTTGTCTTTCTTTGTAACCTCAGAATTTAGCATTTGCCTGGCACACAGTAGGTGCTTAAATTCTTGATGTTTTCTCCAGGGAAGCCCATCCAATTCCTGGATAGCTCTGGTTCTTCCTTATTACTGGGCTGAAATTTCCTCCAAGGTAACATAATTTCCTTCCCATGCTCTATTGCCCTTCAGGGTTTATCTGAACTAGTCCAATCACCCACTGGCAGCAGAAATTCTTTTCTGAGGGTCAAGAGCTCCTTTGAAATGCACACGTTTAAAGTAATATAGACTGAAGGCAAGGGTGGGGCAAGCTTGGAATGCCAGGCCTTGGGGAGGATGAGACTGTGCATGTTGAGATCTGCTCCTCTGCCTGGAGAGAAAGCTGGCTAGACGTGATCCAGAGAAGACAACCCAGAAACCCCAGCTGTAGACGCTGCCAGAGCAATGCGAACCAACCAGCTTGTGAAATATATCTTGTTTATTTCTTGTTACCTCTTCTGGGTAAGTGGGGCTCCAGGGTCCAGGTGTGAGGCCACTTGGGAAAGGTCTTTTAGGAGAGGGCTGGATTATCTGTGAGAAGAAGCACGGAAGAAATGGGGCAGGGGGGGCGCGCTGGGACAGACTTTCAGTTCCCCCTAAAATGAGATGAGTGATGTTGAATACGGGAAATCCACAGCCCCTCCCAATTGGTTCATGCTTTCTCCCTTCTCAAATTACCTTGTATTTATTTAGTTGAGTACAAGTTATAGCCCTCTGTGAGGAGGTAAATTATTTGAATGGTGAACGGTTTGTTTTGGTGTCTGCACTAGTACCTGACACAAAGCCTGACTGACTGATAGGTGCTTAATAAATGCTTTTTGGATTGAATGTAATTGAAACCTTCCAACCTTGAAGTCAGTATCACTGATAGCCCAGTAATACATGACAATGGTTTATTGCAACAATTTCTTGGAAAGTCAAAGCTAGAAGCAGCCTTAGGTCCTAGGACCTAGAAAGTCAGCTGGAAGGGATTTTAGAGCAGAGAATGTAACAACTCAGACAGACTTTATTCTAGAGAAAGTCAGTGCAGGGAGGGCCATTAGGACATGGAATATCAGAGCACAATGCCTGGCACACTGGGCTGGCTGGCTGGCTGACTGGGAGGGACTTTAAAAGAGAGGAAGCTAGGTCAGGGAGGGACCTTAGGACACAAGATGACGGAGATGGAAGGAGCTTTAGAAATTGAGTTTATTCACTTTATTTCATTTTTCAAGATAATTTCATATTACAAACTCAATAGCAAACCCCCCAAAATATGAACAAACAAGATGAGAAATAAAACCCAAAGGCTTAAATTTCAAACTATTTATTTACATGTCAATACAACTAGAAAATAATACCAATTTGTTTTGTGTTCCCCTCTGATATCTTTTCCTGTGCACTTATAAAATTTTTGCAACTTTTTTTTAATATGGTCGTAGTTAGTGTAATACTTTCCTCAAATGGCACTATTTTTTATGTCTTCCTTTTTTGGTATGTTCATATTTTTCTAATTTTAGGCTATTATACATAATATTCCATGACATTAACGTACCACAACTTATTCAGCCATTCACTAAATATTGGACATGTAGCATGTTGATAATTTTTCACCATTACCAGAAGAAGCTATACTTTTTTTTTTTAAGGCAATTGGGGTTAAGTGACTTGCCCAGGGTCACACAGCTAGTAAGTGTCAAATGTTTGGTCTGAGGCTGGATTTGAACTCAGGTCCTCCTGACTTCAGGGCCAGCGCTCTATCCATTCCGCCACCTAGCTGCCCCCTATACTTTTTTTTTTAAGAGACAGACTTTTTTCTTCTTTTTAGCAACATCTTTAGGATATAGTCCTAGCAATGAGACCACTGGGTCAGATAAAGGGTTCATAATCCTTATTGTATGTTGCCAAATTACTCTCCAAATTGTAAATTGCACTAATCCAAAGCTCCACCAACAATGTAATAGTAGACCTGTTTTTCCACAGTCCTGCCAACAATGAATTTTATCATTTTAAACTATGTTTGCTAATTCAAAGGGTGAAGGGCTTCAGTCACTTCCACTAATGTCCTACTCTGATGCCTCTTCCTAGTGTGGTTTTTAGAAGACTATGCTAGGGAAGCACAAACTTTGTCAGGTCTGACCTGGAAAAGCTTTGAGGAATTGGCTGTGTTCTGTTTGTAATCTAAGGATCAATCTTCTTCAATTCAGAGAGGACCATTGCCAGATGTGGTGGCTGCAGGGTGGTGAATATTTTGGCTACCACTATTATTGATGATCCACTAAAGCTGTAGAAAGTTGGGATCTGCATTCAGTGTCCCTACACAGGGAACAAGCATTTATTAAATGCCTACTATGTGCTAAGGCACTTTACAAATACTATCTCATTTGAGGCTCACAACCACCTCAGGGAGGTAGGTGCTATTATCATCCCCATTTTTCAGGTGAGGAAACTGAGGCAGAACGTGGTTAAATGACTTGCTCAGGGTCATACAGCTAGTAAATGACTGAGGCCAATTTGAACTCAGGTCTTCCTAACTCCAGACCCAGCCTTCTAACCATTTGTGCCAGTAGATGGAGAAAAGAATGAAGGCATTTACCCATTTTTTGTCATTGACAGCTGACATTTATGTAGCACTTTCAGGTGCTGTAAAGCACCTTACATACAATGTATCATTTGAAATTTGTAAGTCTAGGAGGTGGGTATTGCAGGTATTATTCCCATTTTACAGATGAGTAAACTAAGGCTCAGAGAAATTAAGTGATTCAGTTAAGGTAGGAAAGGAGCTTTGAATTTAGCTCTCTCCTAGCTCTGAGTTCTTTCCAATACACTTCTCTGAGTGTTATTTAATTAAAGTTATGAAAGATTTTGTGTGACAGAATTTGGTGATGGATTAGATGGGGCGGTACACCAGAGAGGAATAAGGGACAGGGGAGAGCCAAAGATGATTCAGAGATTACCAGTCTGAGTAACTAGGAGAGTGTGAACTCTTAGAGATTCTAGGATCCTTTGAGTCTAAGATTCCAGGATCCCATTTTACTTTCAAGATTTGTAATGCTGCCATGAGTGGAGGAGGGGTGATCTTTCCACATGCAGACTGTGACCTCCTCTGTAATCTAGTTCTTCAAGAATTCATAGGACATAGGATTCTAGCTTTAGAGCTAGAGGTGACTTTCAAGGCCATCTAGCCCATTTTACAAATGAAGAAACTGAGGCCCCAAGAGATGAAGGGACTTGTCTAAGGGAGTCAATGGCAGAGCTGGGATTTGAACCAAGTTCCTTTTGATCCAAACCCAGGGCTATTTCTGGTGCGGTTCAGGGGCTCAGGGGTGCTGGGACCCCAAAATCACAACACATGGGTCCTTCTCAAAAGAATTCGACCCAAACCTTCTTTCAGCCAAAGACAAGATTTATTAGAACTTCGTCATATTGGGCAGAATCTTAAGGAGCCTGAATATGAGTAAACAGTGGCTAGATTATGAGAATCCCAGCACTGGCTAGATTTTAAGAATCTAAGCAGTGCTAGATTATAAGAATCTAAGCATCTTAATGGAGACAAGAATGGACCTTATACCAGAAAGACTGTGGGAGGGATCTAGGAGTGGCCAGGTAGTCCATGAGGTAATAGAATTACCAGGGTGGGAAGTGGCCTGGGGCCATAGGGAGGCAAGACTGTGGAGGGGAGGATTATAGCCTCAGGTAAACACCAGAGATTTGGACATGTGGGAAAGTCCAGGGTTTTTCCTTTTTTGGGGCCCAGATCCCAACCCCATCATTTCCACCATATCCTGCCACCTCTGTGGCTGGTCTGATGACAATGTTCTCCAAACATAACTAGGCTGTTTCTCAGACAAAAACCACCTAACACTTGGTTCCTGGTTCTTTCCCCTTGATAACAGCTTCTAGAGCTTTCAGTCCACCGGCATTGGCTTCAAGAACCTAGGGCTGTCACCTCCATACTGAGAGATGAGAGGGAAACTTAGGTGGAAGTTTTATGATTCCAGTACTACCCTAGGCAAGTCACTTATCTGTTTGCCTCAGTTTCCTCATCAATAAAATGAGCTGGAGGAGAAAATGGCAAACCACTCCAGTATCTCTGCCAAGAAAACCACTGATAGGGTCATGAAGAGTCAGACACAATGACTAAACAACAAAATGAGACAATGAGGACTTGGTAAATTTGAGAAAGGCAGGGAGTTATCATGCAAAGGATGTTGAGGTGGGGTCTCTGGAAACCTCATTTGAAGTTCCAGCTGTGACATGTGCTAGTCATGTGGCCTCAGTGGAATCATCTTTTCTTCTCTGAACCTCAGTTTCCTTATCTGTAAAATGGAACCCATAATACTTGCCCTACCTACCTCTTTATTATTATTGTTGTTGTTTTTAAAAAAAATTATTTATTTTTAGTTTTCAACATTCACTTCCATGAGATTTTGAGTTCCAGGTTTTCTCCCCATCTCTCTCTCCATACCTCAAGGCGGTGTGCAATTTGACATAGGCTCTCTCTATATATATTCATATTGAACCTATTTTCACGTAAGTCGTATTATAAAAAAGAATTAGAACCAATGAGAGAAACCACAATAAAGAAGAAACAAGAAAAGAAAAAAAAGAGAGAGAACAAATAATATACTTCAATCTGTATTCAGACTCCATAGTCTTTTTCTGGATGCAGATAGCATTTTCCATCATGAGTCCTTTGGAGTTGTCTTGAATCCTTGCATTGCTGAGAAGAGCTGTGTCTATCAAAGTCAGTCATTGAACATTTTGGCTATTTCTGTGTATGACGTTCTCCTGGTTCTGCTCACTTTATTCAGTATCAGTTCATTCAAGTCTTTCCGCGTTTTTCTGAAGTCTGCCTTATATTACCTGTCCCACAGATTGAGATAAGGGATGTGCTTTCATGGGGGGTGGAGGGGAGTGGGGGGGTGAGGGTGGGTGGACCTGTGTAAGGGACCAGGAAGACCCATAATGAGAGTTATGGGAAATCTGGGGCTTTGACTAAATGGGGACTGACATCGGGGGAGACATACTTCCTTGAGGTCTTACCTTCCCCGCCCTCATCAGTCTGGAGAATGTTACATCTATTCCTTGTTGTCCTCCACTAGCTCGGTCCCCAAAGAGTTTGGAGAGAAGGGTCCCTGGGAGAGAGAAAGAGTATTGTGGCAGTGCTTGATTAATAGAAGCTCCCACCCCGCCTCACCCCACCCTTTGCTAGCAATTATTCTCTGGAATTGGATTGGGGGTGTCATCAAAGTGCCTTGTCTCCTCAGATTGGAGAAACAGTTCCCCTTCCTCTGGAGGAGAAGCCTGACCCCTAAATCCAAAGAGATCTCCCTTCCATAGAGACAATGTACCTAGAAATGCACTCCATCCCTGGACAGGCTCAGCCTGTTACCAGAAGGTCTGAAGTGTCCTCTTTCCATAGGTAGCTGCTGGTCTATGGAAGCAAATTAGTTTCCAGCCTGTCTCTGTAGGGTCTGGTAAAGTTCCCTTCCCCCCATCTCCCATTCTCTCTTCACCATGACAAAAGGGGTAGGGCTCAACTGTTTTTGGCCTTAAGTGAAAAAATTCCTTAAGGCTTTTTATCTCAAGGTTTATGCTTCCTCTGACCTAGCCACCTGTGTTTATCAATCACATTTGACATGGAATATGTCTAGGAGTAAGCCCAGAAGTCAAGTCTTCTAGGGCAGTTTTTTGCTTTATCAGATGGCACTCCTCCATGTCTGTCTTTCATTGCCAGGTGGCCAGTGGTGTGATGATAGCCGTGGGTCTATATGCAAAGCTTTCCAAAGAATCAGGTAAGTGTGACTGCCTCACCAGCAGAGCTTCTGGGACCTGGCCTGGGCACACACTGGGGAGTGGAGAGCCTTCCCCAACTCCCTTCCTATAAACACAATCAGAAAGGCAAGTGGCTAGAGCTCCGGATGCTGTGGAGCTGAGAGAGGAGGAAAGAAACAGCTGCATCCTGTATGGGGAAGAGCTCAGCAACCATCTAGGTCGCCACGGGTTCTTAACACTGTTTGGGTCATGGACCCCCTTTTGGCAAAGCCTATAGATCCCTCCTCAGAACAACATTGTAAATACATAAAAGACATACTGTGTGGGATGCCACTCAAATTAAAAAACACTCTTAGAGGTTTTTCATGGAGAAACAAAGTTAATTTATTTGCTATTCTCGAGAATAGGGTGTCCCTCCACCAGTATGCTCTGATGGAGACAGCACAGAAATAAAGAAGCACATTAAATAACCCTAATGGGTAAAGGCCCCCTCCCACCAACTGGCCAATGTTTGGCTCACAATCTATAATGAAGTGTTGCCAAAGAAACAATTAAAAATGTGCAGTCAAGGTAGACACTGTACTGTATAGCCAGGCTACCATGACCGAAATATAGCAACAGGTGTAACAACAAAATATGGGGGGAGAGGGGGTTTCCAAGGGTCTTAGGCTTGGAAAACTTTACTGGTATAACAATGGCATAGAAAGGGGGGGTACTTGGGGTTGGATTCCTGTAAATCAGGTGATTTCTAGTATATCAAAACTTAGGCCTGTCGGTCTGCTATGCCTGCCCTGAGTCACAATACAATTTCCATTTATTCTTCTAAGAAGTTTTCATGGGACCCCTCATCCTACTCAGCCTTATCCCAAACCTTAATTACACTGAGGAGTCTTCACTGGGACATCCCATTCAGTACGATTACAAAGGAAACCAGTGAACATTAGACTGTCACCACAATATTTTCCTTTTTTTAAAAAAATAGCATTTTATTTTTTTCCAATTACATGTAAAGACAATTTTTGACATTCATTTTTTACAAAATTTTAAGTTCCAAATTTTCTCCCTCTCTCCTCCCCTCCCCTCTCCCTAAGAAAAAATATTTTTCAAAAACAAATTTGTGGATCTCAGGTTGAAAAGCCCTGATCCAGTTCAACCCATTGCCCCACAAAGAATCCTCACTATGAGACACACCTGACCAGCCATCATCTGCTTGAAGCCAAGAAGGGGAAGTCGCCACCTGGAGGCTGCCCACTCCACTTTGAGACAGCTCTGATGGTTAGAAAGTCTTGCCTCAGGGTTTTCTCCTCTAGGTCTAAACATCCCCAGTTCCTTGATCTCCTATTCACTGAGCATGGACCGAAGGCCTTTCACCATCCTGGTTGACTTCCTCTGGACACTCCATCAACAAAGCATAGAACCGAATACGATATTCCAGATGAGTTCTGCTGAGGGCAGAGTACAATGGGACTCTGCTACTGCTTATTTCTTGAAGCTACATCTCTCTTAATTCAGTCCAGGACTGCATTAGCCATTTTGGCTAGAATTAGCTTGATGGATTGAGCTTGCAGCATACTACAACCTTCAGATCTTTTCCAGATGACTCATTGCCTTACTCTGCCTTGTCTATCTTGTACTTATGACATTGATTTTTAAAAATTGTGTATTTTTTTCAATCAGCAAAAATCTGGCTTCTCGCCTTCCCTCCGCCACTTTCATTGAGAATGAAGGAAAAACAAAACCCTTGTTACAAAGATGTATAGACAAGCAAAACAAATTTCATCATTGGCCAAGTCCAGAAACAATTTATGTTTCTTAGTGAGCTCTGGGTCCTTTCCCTCTCTATCAGGAGGTGGGCAGCATGTTTTTGTATCCCTAGTGTTTAGCAGATAGTAAGTGATTAGTAAATATTTACTGACTGACAGTATATAACTTGTGAAAGAAGTTCTGAGAATGTAGAGGGCTTATCTGTTTGAGGGAGTTAATGGCAGGCTTCATGGAGGAGGTGGCATTTGAGCTGGGCCTTGAAGACTGGGCAGAGAGTGGAGACGATGGGGAGGGTTGGGGGAAGAAGATATCGTAGACATGGGAAGCAACATGAACAGAAGGACAAAGATGGGAAAGTGTATGATATCTTCCAGGAGTAGCAAGTCTTGTGCCTCAGGTACATGCAGAGGAGTACTAGGAGACAAACGTAGACAGGTACGTTGGAGTCCCATTGGAGAGAGCCTGAATGCCAGTTTGAGCAATAGAAAGCCACTGAAAGTTTAGGAGTAGGAGAGACTGGATTAGAATAGTAGCCTGGGTGCTCATAAAAGACAGTTGGAAGGGAGAGATTGCAGCAGTGCAATGGGCTAGGAGGCGCTATAGTCCCAGGGAGAGATGCCACTCACAGCGCCCTGACTTCCTATTGGCAGCTTGGGGTGCCTCCTTCTTCACCCCTACTATCTGTCTTCAAACTTTGGACTCACTTTTCCTTCCATCTATCCTATTGAAATCTTCTTGTATCCCCTTGCCTGAGGACTTTTCTCTAGGATATCCAAGGAAATAGATACAGCACAATGTTGTCCAGGCTGATGGTATTCGGCAAGAAGGTCATTAAAATAATATAACCAAATCCAGTCGTTAATATCTGGAAATTTGATATAATGATGTTTCAACAACAGCATGTTTTTCACATCGTTGTCACGGATTTGAGAGCTCCGTGGGATGCCAGGACAGCCCACTCAATTCACATACCTCTTAAATTAGTCTCAGTGTTTCAGACAACTCTTTTTTAAACAGTATTTTATTTTTCCGAATTACATGTAAAGACCATTTTTAGCATTCATTTTAATAAAATTTTTGAGTTCCAAATTTTTTTTCCCTTCCTTCTTCCCTCCTTCTCCTCCCCTTTTCCTAAAACAGCAAGCAATTTGATATAGTTTATATATGTGCAAATAATGTAAAGCATATTTCCATATTAGTCAGAGTTGTAAAAGAAGAAACAGACCAAAAGAAATAAAGACAGTGAAACTAGTATGCTTTGATCTGCATTCAGACTCTATCGCAGCTTTCTCTGGATGTGGACATCATTTGCCATCACTGAGTGCTTTGTAATTGTGGGTCATTGTGTTCCTGAGAAGAGCTAAATCAATCATAGTTGATCATGACACATTGTTGCTGTTGCTGTCTACAGTGTTCTGCTGGTTCTGCTCATTTCACTTTGCATCAATTCATACAAGTCAGACAACTCTTTTTTTTTTTTTTTGGCGGAGCAATGGGGTTAAGTGACTTGCCCAGAGTCATGCAGCTAGTAAGTATTATGTGTCTGAGGCCGGATTTGAATTCAGGTTCTCCTGACTCCAGAGCCGATGCTCTGTCCACTGTGTTACCTAGCTGCCCCTAGACAGGCAACTCTTTTAAGAGGATAAATTGCGGGCAAGTTGCTGATCTGCCTCAGCGGAAGGAGTTCCCACACTGGGAGATCTCTTTGCTTATAAAATCACAAGTCTGAACCAAACACATATTCATTCTCTCCACCCTCTGCCAGGGAGGACATTTTTCTCTGCCAGTCCAGATTTGTACTTGCTCTGAAGCTTAAAATCTTAGAGAATTGCTTAGGGTGATAGGAGGCTAAATGACCAGCCCTGGGTCAGGAACCCAGGCTTCTCTGGCCCCATATCGGCTCTCTCTATCCCCTATGCCACACATACCTGTGTGTGTACACATGACTCTAAAGTTTGCCAAGCACTTTACATATATCACTTGAAGTTATTGTGAGAAAAGCACAGAATCATTCTACAGTCTCTGGGCAAATGCCACCACTTTGGTTTACTCTTAGCCTGGCATTCGAAGCCCTCCATGACCTATCTTGGGTTGTCCTAGTTAATCTCTGAGTTCCCACACTAACATTCTATTATTCCAGGATTCTGGGTCATCACAGTCACGCTGAGTGATTACTATCATTCTTGTATTTGTCCTTATTGGTCCACCCCTCCAAATACTTGAAGAGCTATAAAAATGAATGAATGAATGGGGGAAAAAAACCATTTATGAAGTGCTTAGTACATGTTAGGCACAATGGGTATATAAGAAAGTGGGGGAACTCCTGCCTTTAAAGAGCTTATATTTTGGGGTTTTTGTTTTGGTTTTGGTTTTTTTTGGTGAGGCAATCTCACATATCCCTAGGCCTTTCCCCTTATAGCACTGTCTCCCACCAGATGCTCTCAATGAAGGAATCCAACTACAAGCAGCTAAAGAAGAGGTGACAGAAATGAGTGGGTGAAGTCCATTCAGGTCTTTCTGAATGCTTCTGAAGCCTTTCAAAGAGCCTCCCATTGACCACATGTTTAGCCAAAAAAACACCCCAAACCAACAACCAGTTAACAGAATGTCTACAAATATTCCATAGTCTCTCCAAGATACTTCCATTCCATGTCAGCAGGACTCTCCATGGAAGAAGGATCCCTAACCTCTCCACTTGGGGAGATTCCATCAGAGGTGCTCTGTGTATATGCCAGATCCCACTGCACATCCAAAAGACTTAATCTCTAATGGTGAAATGTTAGGCATCATTTCAGAACTGGTGAGATGTTTGTGGGGAACCCACAACTCAGAACTCCTCACTTCACAATAACTGAGCAGCCCTTTACTCTGTGTATGAGGCAGGTCCTGATGATGGAAAAGTGGAAATCATCAGCATTTGTATCTGCTTCCTCTAAGCCTCATCCTGTTTCTTCTAGATTATTGCAATGACCTCTTAACTGGCTTCCCTGATTCTTGTCTCTCTCTCAATCCATCCTACATAGGCTGATGCATAAGCCCAGCTTTGATCAGGAATACAGTGTGGTATAACGGAAAGAATACTTGATTTTGAGTCAGTAGACCTGAATTCTCATCCCGACTGCACTATTTATTGGCGATGTGATTCTGGCAAGTCTGTTACACTTTGCTGGAAGCTCAGATACCTCTTCTACAAAATGTGGAAAGTAATATTTACATTCTCAAGGAAATAACTTTGTGAATAAATAATAAGTATAATAAATTAATCACATTAATGAATGTCGATCATTAATATTATTACTAAATTACAATACTAAACACTTACTTTACTGATGTGCATTTTATGCCTCACAGGTGCTGTAGATTCCCTTCTGGCAGAGCCCTCTCTCATTGTAATCATTGTAGGGGTCCTCACATTCACTGTCACCTTTGTGGGTTGCACTGGTGCTCTAAGGGATATGCCCTTGCTGCTGAAAATGGTAAGAAATTAGCATATGTACAGATCATGGGGGAGCTACAGACACCCAAGGAAATCCCTGCTCCCAGGGACACTACGGCCAAAAGGTCCTGCTGTTCCAGTAATACACAGACCTCCCCTAGATCACTTTCTATCCCTCAGAGACAAGCAGTAAAGTGGCCAGAGGGTCTGGCTCTCCCTGCTTTTAATCGCTGCTTACAGGTAGGCTCAGAGTGGGAGACAAGGTGCCACCCTCCTTGGGGCTAGGGGAGGTGCTGCCTCCACACCCTTGCAGCTCAGCCACTAGGGCTCCTTTAGTATCACAACTGTGCAAAATGTTGGAAACTACTATTTAAATTTTGTTTAAAATACAGACATCAATTTAAGATGTACAATGCTGAATTGCTAAATTTATTCTGCTTGCACTTTCCCCTTAATAGTGTGCTTGTCTTTTTTCCCCCTCAGAAAGTGTAAGAAGAATTTTCCATTCATTTATTTTAGAATCTAACTTGTGCACTATGCAGTACTAATTATCAGCCACAAGAGGGAGACGTCCCTTTCTTCAAGGTCAGGCTTCATACTCAAGAGGCCATTAATTTGCTCTAAAATGGTTTTTAGCCACTCACTGCCTTAGCAATCAATACCTCGTGTTCTGTAAGGGGCTTTGTAGGTTTCAGAGCATTTCTATATCCAATGAGTCCAGATGCTCACAAAAGCCCTCCTCCCTGAGGAAGGCAGGGCGGGGAGCATGACCCCCATTTTACAGATGAGAAAACTGGGGCTCAGGGAAAGGTAAAGTGACTTTTTGCTGGTCACATGTAGATCTGGTTAATGGTGGACCTAGATTTGAACTCAGATTTCCTGAGTAGGGGGTTCTTATTGTTTCAGCCCTGCCTTATGTCAGGCAGGCACCCCTGGCTGGGAGCAGGCTCAGTTTCCCAAGATGCTGCTTTCTTCCCTCAGTTTGCCGTGATGTTACTGCTGATCTTTGTACTCCAGATCGTGGCTGTGGGAGTGGCCTTTCTCTTGTCTGGCCAGGTAACAAGAACCAAGAAGGCTCTGGACTCTGATGGGCCCTGGAATGAATACCCTGAATGATTACCTCACGTCAAGCCCTCTGCACTGGCCATGAATTCAGTCACAGACCTCTCCAGGGAGGGAAGAATATGGGAGACTGTGAATCTGTTTTCTCCTCCAGTCATGCCTGGTTCATTCAGATAAATGACTTGGAGGTGACCTTAGAACCTAGAAATTCAGAGCTGGACAGGACTCTAGAACAAAGAATATCAGACTGGAAAGGGAATGTGGAACATTAGCGCTAGAAGGGAATTCAGAACAGCGAATGTCAGAGCTGGGAGGGCCCTTAGAACCCGGGATGTCATTGTTGGGAGGGCCCTTAGAACAGAGACTGTCAGAGCTGGGAGGACCCTTAGAACCCAGGTTGTCAGAGCTGGGAGGACCCTTAGAACACAAGATGTCAGAGCTGGAAGGGCTCTTAGAACAGAAAATGTCAGAGCTAGGAGGGCCCTTAGCACCCAAGATGTCAGAGCTGGGGTCTTAGATGGCCTGGGAAGGCTAATCCACTCCCCCCACCCCTTTTCCCCCAGCTATTTTTACAGATGAGCAACCAGAGGCCTGGAGAGTGCAAGTGGATTATTGATCCAAGTCACCCAGCCAGTTGGTGGCAGACCATGGTCTAGTTGTTTCACAATATTGTCATTAAGGCAGCTTTGACTCTCCATCCAGAGCCTTTTCTATCCCACCATGAAGCTTCCCTTGTTAGGTGTAGGCTCACTGGAAGGGGTGGCTAGGTGGCACAGTAGATGGGAGTGCTAGCCTTGGAGTCAGGAAGAGCAAAGTTCAAATGCTGCTTCAGGCACTTAGCTATATGATACTGGGCAAATCACGCAACCTCTCTGCCTCAGTTTCCTCATCTGTAAAATGGGAATAACAATAGCACCTATTCCAAAGGCTTGTTTTGAGCATTGAATGAGATAATATTGTAAAGTACTTTGCAAATCTTAAAGCACTATATACATGTTAGCTCTTATTAAGGAATAGGAAGGATATTCATGGGAATTTTTTGATTGTTAAGTTCAGTTTTCTGGCAGAGATAGAGGAATCATAACTGGAAGTTTTCTGAGGTGTGCCAGGGAGGTAGGTAACGGCAGTTAGTGGAGAGCCGAGTCCAGCAAATACTTTCTCCTGGTTTTGAGCTGCAGGTGATGGACAAGGCTGCATTTCTCATGGGAAAAGCCATAGCCAGCTACCGGGATGACCTGGATTTGCAAAATCTCATTGACTACATACAGAAGAAGGTAAGAAGCAAGTGGCGTACTGTATTGAAAAAAGGCCTGGGCTAGGAGTCAGGAGAGCCGCCATTGCTACCTGGCTGAGTAACCTGGGATCCAATTTCCTCCCCTGTAGAATTAGGAGTTTGGATGAGGGGCTCTTTAAGGTTCTTCCCGTTCTACTTCAAGTGAATTCCCCTAAAATCTTTGAGAATAAGGATCAATGAGTCACAGAATCTTGATGCCATAAAACATCGAATGTAACTAAACCCTGAAAAACAATCCCCCTTTTCACACGCTATTTAAGTGGTTATCCAACCTTTGCTTGAAGTCTCCCAACCATGGGGAACTCACTCTTTCCTAAAACGGCCCAATCTAGCTGGAGACAGCTCTAGCTGCCAATTCTAATAATAGCTAGCATTTATATAGTACCGACTATATGTGTCAGGTACTATGCTTGACAAATATCATCTTATTTAATTCTCACAACAACCCTGGGAGGCAGGGGCTGTTGTTATCCCTATTTTACAGTTGAGAAAACTGAGTCAGACAGCTGTTAAGTGATTTGTCCAGGGTCACTGATGTCTAAGGCTGCATTTGAATTCAGGTCCTCCTGACTCCAAGGCCAGTGCTCTATTCACTGAGCCATCTACCTTTCAAGTTCTTAAAGACTGGTATCATGTCAATCAATCAATCAATAAATACTTATTAAGGGTCTGCTGCAAGCCAAGTGAAATGTGATGAAATCAAATTCCTTCCAGCCTTCTCTCCTTCAGTCAAATAGCTCCAGTTCTTTCAGCTGGTCTTCATATGGCATATGTATGCATTGAAGAACTTCCAGGTCCTTGTTGGCCCCTGCACAAAAATGCCAGCATAGGTTACAGATGGACAGGTGTTCATCTACTCAAGAGTGTGACACACTCCAACAGTAGATGCCTTCACATTTTCACAATTCCACAGAATATAAATATATATATATATACACACACACACATGTATATATGTATATGTGTGTGTACACACAGTTACACACACATACACACACACATGTATATATGTATATGTGTGTGTACACACAGTTACACACACACACACACACACACACACACACACGCACTCTCCTCCTAAGCTAAGGCTAAGAATTTGGGTAAGATCACATAGGTCACACAGTCAGGTTTACAAAGCAGTTTTGGATAATATCCTGTAGGGCACAGTAGTAGATACATTTTTTGTTTTTTATGAACAAAATGACTTTCATTTCCATCCTTAATGAAAATCACACCATCATTTAAGAACATTTGAAAAATCTTGAAATAATTTAAACTGAATGCACAGGAGAGCAACAAAAAAAATCTAACTGTAAGGTCTTAAAGGGGAAAAGATATTTTCAATGATGAGAATAAATTCTGAATGAGTTTCCATCACCATACACTATTCTGACCAAAAACTACAGCCTCCTGAAACAGTACTTACTGTGCAATCCAGATTATACTTTTGTGATAAAAAAATTCCTTTTTTTTTTTTTTAAGATACTAAAGGCTATATAACCTAGTAAAGTTCACCTGCAGCACTTTACATCTGGTGAAGCTTGAGTCAAGATACTGGCTGGTAGCTACTCCCCCAAGAGATGGAGTAGGTACATTTTGAGCAAAAGAAAAAGGATGCTTAAACTGTTGCAAAGATCTTTAGCAAAGTCATTTATACTGGTTCAAAGAAAAGAGCATCTTCTTTATCAATCAACTAATTAGTATTTGTTAAGCACCTTGTAATTCTTCAGTTTTTTCTAGTCAGGTACTAGTCTCCGAGATCTCACCGGGGTTTTTTTGGCAAAGCTACTGGAGTGGTTTGCCATTCTCTTCTCCGGCTTTTTTTTTTTTAACAGATGTGGAAACCAAGGCAAACAGGGTTAAGTGACTTGCCCAAGGTCTCATAGCTAGTAAGTGTCTGAGGCCATATTTGAACTCAGAAAGATGAGTCTTCCTGACTTCAGGCCCAGTACTCTGTCCACTGCTATATCTATCTACCCTTTTAAGCTTCTACTACGTGTCTTATTAGATAGAATAGAGAGAGAGAGAGAGAAGTGGTTCCATTTCTGGAACTATTCAAAGTTCTATGAGTTTTCTTTTATAATTGTAAAGTGATTGGGGGAAAAGGGAATACGGAAGGGGATTTCAGTACATTCAATATCACACAGAAAAGTTAAAAATAAAACAAAACAGCAAATATAGCACAAAATGAAGTCAGTTATGTTCTCTCAAAAATCTACTTTCAACACGTGGCCTCCCACCTCTGGATACTTTCTGGCTTATCAGAGTGCTTGTACCTGGAGTTTCCAGAAGTGGGCACAATCCTTTGGATGGTAATCTGCAGAGTATAGTGGGCTATCCCTTCTCCAGGCCTGGACTCTATTTAGGTTGGTTTCATATAAACCAGACAGGAGGGGAGAAGTGGGGCCTCTAACCAGCCCAGTAATTTGATACACAAGTAAATGCCTGCCTCTCACACCTTTCTAAGGACAGCCCTATTGCACAATGTGGGGCATATTTCCATTTGAATTGGCACATGAGATCTTCAGTGATTTAGCCCTGGTTTTGCATAAAGAGCCCAGGGTTTGCAGTCAGAGGTTTGAGCCCTGGATCCCCCACTTTGCTAAGGAAGGCACCTTAGAACAGCTTGGTATTTAAAGCCCCCCAATCGAGCTCCCCCTTACCTCACGAGTCTTATTTCCCATTACCTTCCTTCCAGGCACCTTCCATTCTAGAACTGGCCTGCTAATTGTCTCCTGTCCTCGACATCCCAGGCTCCTGCCTTCATGCGTTTGTACAGACGGTCCTTGTCTAGGATGCCCCCTCTCCTCATCTCCCCCTCATGGAATCCTGGCTTCTTTTAAAGCACAAATTGGGTGCCACCTCGTGCACAAGTCCTCCCCCAACTGGGGACTCTCTCCCTCTTGAAATTCCTTTGTCTATCTTTGGACTCAATTATTTGTGCACATGTCCCATCCCCTGTTAACCTCTCACAGAGTTTGTTCTAAGAAAGAGACAAATGATTAGGTTGTGTCCACATTTAATTTCTCTCAAGCTGGTTTGACATGTGTTACGTGGGAGTTACAGTCCAGAACTGGCTGAAATTGAGGTTTGAAGGGGGGACAGAGTTATATACCTTTTTAACAGGGGCAGATATCACCCCACCTCCTGACAGAAAAAATGCCTCATCTATCAGATCACCCCCCCAACCATAGCAGACCACTCCCAGTCTTGGGCTATCTAGGCCCAAGAATCTGTCTCTACCCAGGCCTGGGCAGCTTCCTATGCAATCTCATTATCAATAATGTGCTTCTGAAGAACTTTGGAGAAGGGGAGTGGGGGAGGGGTGGAGCTCTGAGTCTCCAAGATGATAATTTTTCATACCCCCCCAGTAGAATTGTAAACTCCTTACAGGTGGAGACAATTTCATTACTATCTTTGTACATGAGGACCCAGTCTCATGCCTGGCAATTGTAGGCACTTACGCAATGCTTGTGGATTTAGTGAACATTTTCCAAGGTGCTCCGAGGTGTCAAAACCATCCTTCCCTTCCAGGAGATCACGCTCTCCTGACTGAATCTGTCAGAGCTTATGACTCCTTAACCAAAACTTTTGAGAGTCCAGGGTCACCTGTACTACACAATATTGATGAAGCCTACCTAATTAAGCCCCAGTGTTTCCTCCAGATAATAGAAAGCTCCCATCCTATGACCTCCCTCCAGCGACAGGCCTCTGCATCATACAACCACCCAATGGCTAATTTGGCATCAGCTCCACAGCTTTACCCTTTCTTTGCTGTAGAATCCTTGCGAGAGCACCTAGGCCAGGCCCTGCCTGAAGCCAATGCCACCCAGACATTCTATTTCTAATGCTGATCTTCCTCTCCAGTTTGAGTGCTGTGGGGTGCGGTCCTACCAAGACTGGTCCCAGAATGAATATTTTGACTGTGGGGTCTCCAATCCAAGCCTGGAGCGTTGTGCTGTCCCTTTCTCCTGCTGTGTCCTGGAGGAGGAACAGGTGAGTGCCTGGTGTAAGCAGGGCCCTTTTTCTGTTCCTTTTCTCCATTGCATGATTTAAAAGGCAGTGATGGGAAAAGTAATTTTAATATTGTTAATATCAAATGTAATATTCTTTTCTCTGTCAAAATGCCATCCTGACTCAAAGAGAAACCCCTCCCTGTATAGAATCCTAGGAATGTCATTGAATCTCTGCTGTTTAAGGCACTTTACTCTTAACTAGGTTGGACTGGGATCTACCCTGGGAATCTAAACTCTGTTTATCCTATAAACAGAGATTAACTGGGGCTAGCCACAGCTACAGAAAGTGACTCCAAGCGTTGTCACCCCCTCATTAAGGTTTGGGACAAGTTAGATCAGGAAGGGTAAAAACAAATGGAATGAAGCAGGTTTTCTTGCTCAGATTGCCAAAGACAGCTGGAACCTCATGACCAGGCCTTTCTCCTCACGTGACCCTTTTTCTTCCTAAATCTATAAAAACCTTTCTGTAAGTTTTTTTGGTGGATGGATATCCATGTATTCAGATATATGCCCCAGTCAAGCCCCAGGCTTGAGACCTTCTTTAAAGAAAACTAAAGAAGCTTTTTTTCCTCCACTTAATTTATTTCAGGACTTAGCAGCAAGGTAGCTCAGTGGATAGAGCATTGGGCCTGGAATCAGGAAGACTTGAGTTCCAATCTGGATTCAGACACTTACTAGTTGTGTGACCCTGGGCAAGTCACTTAACTTCTGTTTGTCTTACTTCACTGGAGAAGGAAACATCAAGGCACTCCAGTATCTTTACCAAGAAAACCTCATGGATAGCATTGGTGTGCTATGGTCCATGGGGTCATGAAGAGTCAGAAATGACGGAAGAACAACAACATAGACAAATATATGTGTATGTGTGTGTGTGTGTATATACACATAATATCCATTCTCGTCAACAATCTAGGCCAATATTCCCTTCCCTAGCCACCACTCTTATATGCTGTCTTCCCCTATTTAGAATGTAAGCTCTGCAGTGGATAGAGCACCAGCCCTGAAGTCAGAAGGACCGGAGTTCAAATCTGGCCTCAGACCAAACACTTGGCACTTACTAGCTGTGTACCCTGGGCAAGTCACTTAACCCCAATTGCCTTAAAAAAAAAAAAAAGAATGTAAGCTCTCTGAGGACAAGATGTCTCCCTTTGGTATTTATACTGTGTGTATATATATATATATATATATATATTACATATATGTGTATATATGAATATACAGATATTGTATATATGTGTGTATGTATATATATATGTATATACACATTCATTCATTCATCCATTTATTTATTTATTTGTTTGTTTGTTTGTTTATTTATTTATTACCATTATTAGTAATGGAGAAAAACTAGAATCCTTTCCAATATATTTAGAGGCAAAATGGGGATGTCCATTGTCACCATTTCTATTTGACACAGTACTAGAAATACTGCCTATAGCAATAAGACAAGAAAAGAAATTGAAAGAATAATCATAAGTGTCATTGGGACCATTATTTGATGTGGTAAGAAGACCCAGGAAGCTGCTTTGATTTGCTCAGATTTACACAGTCAGTAAATGATAAAGTTGGGGCCCATGAGCTTCTGACACGTCTTTCTCTTGCTCACAACCCTTCCATGATTCCCCACTGCCCAGACTCCTTCATCATGAATTTTTTAATCAGTTCAACTTAATTAAATCATGTGTTAATCAGTCAATAAACACTTATTAAGTACCCACTATTTGCTGAGGGATGGCTATGGGAGTAGAGATAGGTTGTGGAGGTAGAAATGGCAAGAATGGGCAACTGACTGTATATTTGGGGTAGAGGAGAATGGAGAGTCAAGGATAATGCCAAGGTTATGAACTTGGAAGATTGGAAGGATGGTGGTGCTTTAAGGTTTGCAAAGCATTTTACAAATATTACCTTATTTGATCCTCACAGCAACCTTGGGAAGTAGGCGCTATTATTATTCTGTTTTACAGATGAGGCAGACAGAAGGTAAGTGACTTGCCTAGGGTCACACTGTTAGTAAATGTCTTAGTATATAGTGAATATATTTGGGGAAAGGAGTAAACCAGGTTTTTAGAACACATTGACTATCTTTACCATGTTATCTGAGAGTAGTAGTAGACCAACCTGCCAACTCTAGCTGAAGTTGGGGAATGCAGCTATTATTTCTTCTTCTTCTTCTCCTCCTTCTTCTTCCTCTTCCTCTTCTCCGCCTCCTTCCAAAAAGCTGGGACAATTTACTTTTTGTCTTGTTCGGTTTTCATTTTTGATTCCTTGAAATATTGCTGCAGAAAGACAGCTCCTCTTTGAGAAATAAGGATGATTTAAAAGCTTATATTAAGTGCTTACTATGTGCACTGGGAATGCAAATACCAAAAAAAAACAGGTCTTGTCCTCAGAGAGCTTACATTCTAAATAGGGGAAGACAGCATATGAAAGTGGTGGCTAGGGAAGGGAATACAGGCCTGGATTGTTGACAAGAATGGATATTGGAGCTCTAGAACTCTAGAGGCAGAGATAGTATTGATTTGATTATGGCTCATAGATGGAAAGTAAGGGGTGGAGGGATACAAGATGAATCCAGTCACAGCGCAAGTGGCAAGATTCCTGGGTTGGAGGCCAGGATGGGACATGAAGCATGCTACAGTGGCTAGACAGAGATAGTTTCTTTTAGGCTCCAGGGCTGAAAAACATCATCACCTGGAGGTCAGTGCTCTCAGAATGAGCTCCCTCCAGCTTTACCACCTTATTCCTTGGGTGAGAGGCACACATACAGTTGGTGATTGCCAAGCCTAGACTCAAAGACTTCCCAGCCTGGGAGAACCCATCAGAAGAACACAGTTTGTACTCTGTTGCCATACCCTTCAAGAACCTAGGATCCCCCCTGGGAAACAATCAGAGTAGAATTTATTGGTCCAATTACAATACTAAAGCTACCAAAGTATAACTAATTACATTTACTCCAATCCTACTGAAGATCTATGATTGATTTCACTTGTGTGTGGGCTCCCTCTACTGGTACAGTTCATAATCCCTCCATCCTCCCCTAGGCCATCTCTCTGATTTGTTGGGATCCAAATAATTCCATCCTCTCATGTCTAGTCTTCTGTCAATATGCTTCTCTGCACTTAGCTAGACTGGCCCTTGGATGGTAGGTACATGTCCATCACTAGGTCTGAATTCTAGTTTGGTTAAACTCTAATTACAGAAAATAGTTCTTTTCTCTCAAAAGGTTACCAAATCATTCTGCTATCATTGGGAGAAGTATGGGAGAACTATAACATTTTTGGAGAGCAATCTGGCAATATACAATAAAATCACAGATCTGAGAGTCAGTGTGGTATGATACATAGAGAGCTGGCCTTGGAGCTAGGAAGACCTGGGTTTAAGTCTTACCTCGGATACCTTTTGGCTATGTGACCCTGGGAAAGTCACTTGACTTCTCAGTGGTCTCTAAGGTAATTCTCTATGGCTATAAATTTTGGTAAAGGTGCTGACCTACATAAGGAGAGAGATTTTCCTCATTTGGGGGGTTCCCTATTAGAGATCTACCAATATCAATACTAGCACTATATCCCAAAGAGATAAAAAACAAAAAAAGGAAAAGGGTCCATATGTACAAAAATATTTAAAAATCTTTTTGTGGTGGCAAAGAATTGGAGATTGAGGGGATGCCCATCAATTGGGGAATGGCTGGACAAATTGTGGTATATGATTGTGGTAGAATGAAATGACAAGCAGGATGCTCTCAGAAAAACCTGGAAAGACTTACATGAACTGATGCAAAGTATAATGAGTAGAACCAGGAGTACATTGTACACAGTAATAGCAATACTGTATGATGATCAACTGTGAATGATTTAGCTCTTCTCAGCAATATAATGATCTAAGACCATTCCAAAGGACTTATGATGAAAAATGCTATCCACCTCGAGAGAAAGAACCAATGGCATCTGAATGTAGATTGAAGCATACTTTTTACACTTTCTTTCTTTTTTTGTGTCTTCTTTCACAACATGATCAATATGGAAATAGTTTTTGTATGACCATATACGTATAACCTATATAAAATTGCTTGCCTGCTCAAGATGGGGAGAGGGGAGAGAGAGAGAAGGAAAAAATTTGAAACTCACGATTTTAAAAAACGAATGTTAAAAATTATTTTTACATGTAATTGGGAAAAATAAGATATTAAATTTAATGGGAACATAGAGTATGTTAAGGGAAGTAATGGTGAAGTGAGCCTGGAGAGATCTTGACCCAAGAGAAGAGATGAGGAAAAGTACCACCTTCCTTTTGTGGGATACAGAATAAGTTGATGGGATCACCATTTTGGTAGCGTTGGCCTACTTGTTTTTCTTGGTCTTGAACAAAGGCTCTCTGGGGATGGGGAAAGGAATAAATCTGTTAATGACTATGTTGTCAGAATAAAAACCATTAATTAGACTTAAAGATAGCCTCCCAACCTTTGCTCTGGATTCCGAGAGTTCCGAAGAACAAAGGGACAAGATGGTTGGGCGTGTATCCCAACTACTCTGACTGGTCCCCAGTGCTGGGCCTTGTACATAGTAGGTACTAAATAAATGTATGTCAAATTGTATTGAATTGAATTGCAAGGGTTGGAGAAGAAACCTAATGTATACTGGTCTAATTTTTTTTTGGGGGGGACGACTCCTTTTCTCCTGTAGAATGTTCTTAATACCATGTGTGGCTATGGGACCCAGAATCTGAAAGCCTGGAAGGCAGAAAGCATGATTCACACAGAAGGCTGTTTGGAGAAGATAGTCACTTGGGGACGGAGTAACCTATATCTGATTGCTGGGTTGGCCCTGGGCCTTTTGGCAATGGAGGTAAAGAGAGTTATCATTATAGAACAATAACAACACATTTAAGTAGAATTTTGAGGTTTACAAAATGCCTTTCGTACATTTTCTCATTTGAACCTCATAACGACTCTGTGGGTTAGAGCTGCTATCATCCCCATTTTGCAGATGTAGAAACTGAGGGTGAAATAGGTTGAGGAACTGGTCACACAGCTAGTAAGTGTCTGAGGTAGGATTTGAAACCAGGTCTTTCTGAGGCCAAGCCCAGTACTTTATACACTGTGGAGGGCTCATAAAATGAGGTTGGAACAATATGAATACCTCAGTATGGTATACAAAACCTTTTCTTATTAATTTCCTCATGTGATTCTCAAAACAGCCCTGTGAGATTGAAAATGATAATGATGTATCTTTTTTTTTTTTTAAACATATATCATTATGGAAGCTGCATAGCGGAAAAAGTACTAGGCTTGGATTCAGGAGGACCTGGATTCCAATCCTGCTTCTGATGTTTACCAGCTGTGTGACCCTGAGCTTAGACTAGTACCTTCTCAGTTATGCAACTTTCATAATGACATATGTAAAAGAAAATAAAGATACTATATCATGATCATTTGTCAGCCCTCCATGGTAGATAACATCTCTGTGCCTAAAACAACTTCTTAGGTTGCATAGTAATCCACAGATAAGTTGAGATCAAGACCCACACGGCCAGTTTTGCCACACTGACAAAATCACAAATCCTTTCCATTTTCTTACATGACATACACACACACACACGTGTGCATATGCACATGCACACACATATACATATATGTACATATACATGTAGCATTAATGTTTTGTTTTGGTTTTTAGTATTAATGTTTACAAAGAGCTTTCCTGCCTACCATCCCAGGCAGCTGGGAGTACAAATACCATTTCCCCCATTTTACAGAAGAGCAAACAGAGCTGAGTTAAGTAACTTGCTCAAGGTCACAAAATGAGCTGAGGGTCCTGACTCCAAGCATCCTTTGTACTCCCTTCCACTGCCTCACCATTTGTAGTGGGTCTAGTGGGAAAAGTCTTGGATTTGGAATCAGAAGATCTGGGTTCAAATTTTGACTCTGTAATTTCCCATCTCTGAGACTTACTTTCCTCATTCATAAAGCGCCATTATTATTATTTACAGATGGGGAAGACGAGGCTCAGAGAGATGAGACAACATGCCAGTGTCACTTAGTGAACAAGTATCTGAGCTGGAACTTGAACCTGCCTCCCAACCCCTGGCTCATTGCTTTTCGTCTGTGTCCCATCCCTCCTACGTGAATTACCAAACATTTGCTAACACCAGTTCCCTATACAGGTCTACACTAGAAGGGGCAGACCAGCTTCTCGCCCTCCCAGGGCTTCCAGCCCTGCAATGGCTCCGATTTTCTGGCTCTTTCCAGTTTATAAGGCAACATTCTCACCCCAACCTGGTGTGATAGTGTGTTTTATTTATTTCCAAAGGGCTTTGGATGTGAAATCAAGAGAGCTGGTAGATCTGAATCTTACTTATGGCACTTACTAGCTCTGTGACCTTAGGGTCATTATGACTTTGGCTGTCTGAGCCTCAGTTTCCTCTTCTATGAGATTCAGTTAATGCTGCCTACCTCTCAGAGTTGTTGTGTGGAGAATGCTTTATAAATCTTAAAGCACTATAGAAACATGAGCTGTTTCATGGTTGATTCATTGGTCTCCCCTGAGCTGTGGGTCTTAGCATAGGGTCAGGCACAGAGTAATGTTGTTTTTGTTGTTGTTCAGCAATTTTTCATTCATGTCCAACTCTTTGTGACTTCATTTGGGGTTTTCTTGGCAAAGATACTGGAATGGTTTTGTCATTTCCTTATCCAGCTTATTTTACAGATGAGGAAACTGAGGCAAACAGGGTTAAGTGACTTACCCAGGGTCACACAGCTAGTAAGTGTCTGAGGCCAGATGTGAACTCAGGAAGATGAGTCCTCTTGACTTTAGGCCTGGCACTTTATCCATTATACCACCTAGCTGTGCAGGCACACAGTAGGTGCTCAGTAAACACTTCTGAATGAATGAACGAACAAGTGAATGAATAACTCTTCTTTCCCTCCAGGTTGTCATCTTCTCTTTGGCTGTGACACTAATTTACCAGATCAGCTTTATAATTCAGAAGAGAACCGACACAAAGAGAGAGTCCTAAGAAGAGAATTAGGCCAGAAAGAGGAGAACTTTGGGCTCGCTTCAGCCCTGGCCAGGGGGGAACGTAGAATGTGAGAGGCAACCGATCAGAGACACTCTTCCGCTCAAGTCACCCCAGATGGAAAGCTGAGGAGCCCCTGAGCTAGGACCATTGCCTATGCATGAGTCACTGACATCTGGAATGTGGCAGATGCTCCTCAGAGGACCCAGTCCTCTGTCCTTTCCCTGAGGGGAAAGAATGAAGAGTCAGAAAATCTGGGTTTGAGTCATGGGTCTGCCGCTAACTTACAAATCATGTCCCCCTTCTGGGCATCAGGTTTTCTTTTTTAAAATTCAATTTTATTTCATTTTTCTATCCCCCACCTTCCAGCCCCCCACTTGGAGAAGGCAATGCAAACAAAACCATCACAAATGTACAGAGTCACGTAAAACCAATTTTTGTGCTATGGGCCTCAGTTTGTGTTGGACCAGGGTCTCTGTAAGGTCTTTATTAGCTCTAACAGTCAATGTTCTGTTTTTATAGGCCCCTTTCCGCTTTCACATTTTATACTTTATGGTCTAAAGGCCCTTTCTGTGCTAACATTCTGTGTTTTATGTTTAGGTCCCTCCCAGCTCTGACTTCCCTCCTGGCACTGACATTATAGGAGTCTATTAGATTTTTTTTTTTTTTGGTCCTTGGCCTGTGATTTCCTTTGTATAGGAAACTCCTCTACCCACACAGAACAGTACCTCCCCTTCAATTTAGAGCCCTGGAGAGAGAATTGCTTGAAGTTTAGTCATTTTGCCAGAGGCCCCACAGACTGTATGTGTCAGGGGTGGGGCTAGAATCCAGGTCTTCCTGGTTCCAAGCCTGGTACTGTATCTACTACACTGTAATGCTGCTCATGACTCTAGATTCCAATGAAAAGAAGTGCTTTCCTTGTGAGATTTCTGGTGTTTCTGCTGTTGCCCAGAACACAGGACTGGTCACACTCAGAATAGTTTCCATGGAGATGACTTATCACAGAGGATCTGGGTGCAGGAGGCAGGAGAAGATGCAACTCTACAGGCCCAGAGGTTCTGTTTCTGTCCCCTGTTTAAAGGTTTAGGATACAAGAACAAAATCAGAAGTGATAGAAATAATGAACTCTTACAATAAACATGAATGTTGTGGAATTTTTTGTTTGTTTTTAAAGGAATCTAAAATACCTTGGGGAGGGGGTGGGAGTTTGAGAAGGAACTGAAATCTAAGACCCAAGAGCCAAGTAGTTTCTGAATAAACAGTTTCAGGTTTAGTGAGACGTACACATTGTTGAGCTAACAGGCTATGACTCAAGCATTTATTATGCCTTATAGGCAGGAACCTGGCCAAGTCCTGATGGTAAGTCTAATTTTCAATGGTCCCACAGATTTTTTTTTCAAACTTTCAAATTTTATTTCTCTCAAGGATATTGTCAGTCAGTCAACAAGTCAGCTCTAGAGTCAGAATGGGTAGTCTGTAATCAGGAAACCTCAACTTCAAATCTTACCTCAGATACTGGTTGTATGACTCTAGGAGTCACTAAATCTCTGTGACCAAGTGCCATCTTCTATTGAAGCCTCTCCAGTGACTGCTGCACTCCCACCCTAAACCACTTCATAGTAATTCTGTATCTGTCACTTATGTGCTTACGTAACTGAGGATTGGCCAGTGAAAGCCAAGTCCTGGGACCATATTTGGGGGACCCACATGGATGTTCTGGTGAGTCTGATTCTGGGTATGCGTGATGGAGGATTCTTCTCTCTCCACTTAAGAGCCTGTGCAGGTATTCTGTAGCTACTTCGGGTCTACTTACTGTGTCCCTTTTTGATTGGCTCCTGAGCTGGAACTGGGCCTACACACAAATGATTCCCATGTGGGCAGCTCAGTCTCTTTCCCCTTTGGCTGTGTTCCAGGGAGGAGGACAAATTGCTGGGGGTTTCTGGGTTAATGAGGGACCTGGGCCATCTCTCATTTGGGCCACAGTCTGTGAACAATGTGTGGCTGTGCTGTTGCTTCTGTCTTTTAAAAATATTTCCTTTTATTTATTTTTCTATGAAAAAGTATTTATTTTCTCCCCCTCCCACTCTACTTTCCAACAGCAAGATTCTTGTAACAAATATGCGTTGTCAAGCAAAACAAATTTACACGTTGTCCATATCCAAAAATGTATGTCTCATTCTGTATCCTGAATCTATCATTTCTCAGTCAGGAGATGGGTGGCATAATTCATCAACAATTCTTGGGAATCATGGTTGGTCATTGCATTGGTCAGCATTTGTAAGTCTTTAAAAATTGTTTGTTTTGACAGTGTTGTCTTTATATGTCCTACATTTAGCACAGTTCCTGGCATATAATAGGTGCCTAATAAAAGTTCGCTAATTGATCTTTAAAATTGGGCTAATGATACTCATTTCCCTACCTCACTATCTCACTTGACTGTTTGGTTAAGCAGGCTTCAAAGGAGTATATCATGGTCAGTTATTAAGAATTATATGAGTTGAGTTCTCCTTGGGCCCCAGAAATCATAGTACAGGGCATGCAGATTCATGTAAGCAAATTGTGGGTGGCATTATCTCACGAGGCCAAGATATCTCTAAATGCATGCTTCTTTAATAGAATGTAAGTCATTGAGGGCAGGGAATAGTTCACCTCTGTTCTTGTATACCCAGTGACTGGCACATAATGGTTACTCAAAAACCCAAGTAAACTTGAGATTGAAGGCCTCAGTGGAATTGTTTCCCAAGGTAGAAAAGTGTTCTCTTATAAAGTATGAGATGGGGGCAGCTAAGTGGCATAGTGAATAGAGTTCTGGCCTTGGAGTCAAGAGGACTCCAGTTCAAATCCAGCCTCAGACACATAACACTCACTAGCTGTGTGACCTTGGGCAAGTCACTTAACCCCAACTGCCTCAACAACAACAAAAAATAAATAAATAAAAATAAAAGAATAAAGTATGAGACTATTTCTTGAAAAGTCAAAATGTAAAGTTCATATTTTTTGGTGAGTTATTGATTATTTGAGGAAAGTAAAACACTCTAACATATCTGTTCCAGAGTCTGGGCCTCTGGGCTAATGGAAATTAGACAGGATAAACCTCAACCTTATATCCAGAAAAGGAAGTCACTAGTTCAAGAAATCATAAATGAAAACTGCCTAGATTTATTAGAACCAGTGGACAAAGTAAAGATAAAAAGAGTCCACCTCCTGAGAGGAATCACAAAAGGAAAGTCCTGCTGTGGAAAATGTGGTTGGCGATATTGCTTCTGCATCTCACTCAGTCAGGGGCTGAATGCCCACGTGACCACATTGGAGTCAGTCTGGACTTGGAGGGAGTGTGGCAAATGGCTGGTTTTCATTTCCATAGGGGTGCAGTCTAGGGGCTGAATGGAAGCTGAGCAAAGGAAGCCATAAAAAGTGGAATTGGTGGGTGAAGGGAGTGACCAGGGAAAACCGGTTCTGAGGTTGGGTATGGATTGACACGTCCGGGTCCCACGCAGAGGGGGTGTGGGCATACCCAAATAAGGAGTGCTCCCAAATAAGAGCCAGGGTCCTCGAATTGTGGGGAGTGGGAGATGTAATTAGGGGCAGAGACGGACATTAGATGCTTCGGATAGGCTGTAACCTCTATAGTACCCAGCCAATGGGGAAACAGGAAGGAATTCAAATTGGGAAAAGGGAACAGAAAGGTGTGCATCTGTGGACATGTGCTCTTGCACATGTGGGATGCCTGGCCTTCCCAGGTCATTAATAAATCTTCTTCCTGATTCAACAATGGCTTCATAGAATTCGTGATACAAATAACACCATGAATGTCATGGCTAAAATCCAGAGCTCTCACATCAAGGAAAAAATATTGCCAATGTCCAGAAAAAGGCATTTCAAGTGCTAAGGAACCACAGTCAGTCTCACACGAGACATGGCAGCTTCTACTAAAAATGAGAGATCTTGGAATACAATATTCTAAAAGTCAAACAAGATAGACTCACAACCAAGAATAACTTACCCTGCAAAGCTGAGCATAAATCCTACAAGGGAAAAATAGACTTTTAATGGAAGTGGACTTTCAAGCATTTCTGATGAAAAGATCAGGGCTTAGTAGGAACTTCAAAAATAAAAATCTAAGGATCTAGAGCAGGAGTGGGGAACCTGTGGCCCTGAGGCCACACACGGCCCTCTAGGTCCTCAAGTGCGGCCCTTTGAATCCAAACTTTGAAGAACAAATCCCCTTAATGAAAGGATTTGTTTTGTAAAACTTGGACTCAGTCAAAAGGCTTCACTTCAGGATCTAGAAGGCCACACCTTCCCCAACCCTGGTGTAGAGAAACCTAGAAAGGTAAATTTATTTGAACTGGAAGGAACGGCATGAAAACATAACATTTTAATAAGGAAGGAAGAAACAAGTATTCCCCTCGGAGCCTTAATGTCTTCAAAGAGTACTGAGAGTTAAATAAGAGGCTCAGATCCTTAAAATCTAGCCAATAGCTCACGAACATTCACACTCCTTAAGAGTCTGCTCAACATGACTGATGCTCTAATAAATCTTGTCTTTGGCTAAAAAAAAAAAGAGTTAAATAAGAAAAACAGAGATTCTAGTGGGGTGCATTGGTTCTGTTCAGAGGATATGAAAAGGGGAAAGAGAAGGTAGGGTAAAAGGAAGAATACACTAGTGAAGAAAGGAGCAAGAAGGGAGAACTTGTTATAGATTGTAATTGGGGTCTGTAAGAAGAAGAATATACAGACGTGAAGGAAAAGCAGAAGGTGGGGGAGAGGGCAACGGATGAACCTCATCCTTAACTGAAATGGCAAAGGAGGGATTAAACAAACATACTCACAGTTTGATGTAGTTATAGAAATATATCAAACTCAATGGGGAAAGGAGAGCATGTGACTTAGAGGGCTATAGTCACAAGCCAAACCAACTTTCTGATCATGAACAGAAGGTTATAGGAGGAAAAAACAAACAAAAGAACTAGAATCTAAGGGAGTGCCTTAGATTGCTGCTTAGGCAATTGAGAAATGGCTGATCAAAGGGGCATATCAACTCAATGAAACATTATGGCATCTTAAGAAACGATGCGAAAGAAGATTCTGGAGCAGGGGTGGGGAACCTGGGGCCTCAAGGCCACATGTGGCCTTAGTCTAGGTCCTTGGGTGCGGCCTTTTGATTGAGTCCAAGTTTTACAGAACTTTTGTAAAGGGGATTTGTTCTGTAAAGTTTGGATTCAGTCAAAGGGCCGCACTTGAGGACCAAGAGGGCCACAGGAGGCCTCTCAGCTGCAGGTTCCCCACCCCTGTTCTGGAGCATCCTGGATAATATGAATCGATGCAGAATAGAGTGAACAGAATTAGGAGAGCAGTTTATGCAAGGGCAAAATACTGTAAAGAAAAACTACTTTGAAAGACGTAAGAACTCTGATCAAATCAACAGTCAGCTGTTTCCAGAGGACTGGTGATGAAGCACATGGTCACAAAGTCATCTCATCACACAGCAGTGACAGAAACAAGGCACAGAGGTACGTTTTTTGGACATGTCTATTTGTGAAGACATTTCATTTGATCATGCTAATTCCTTGTAAGGTTTTTTTTCCCTTTCTTTTGCTCAATTGAGGGATCTCTTGATCAATTCCTTTTTTAAAAATCCCTTTTTATCACTGAAATCGCTTATTTTAAAATAATAACAGCTAACATTTACATATTGGTTTAAGATTGACAGAGGTCTTTACGTGTGTTATCTCATTTATTCCTCACAGCGACCCTGTAAGTTAGGTTCTATTATCATTTCCATTTAACAGATGAGGAAACTGAGGCAGAGATCCAGTGACTTGCCCAGGTTTGACAACTAGGAAGTATCTGGAGTAGAGTTTGAACTCAGCTCTTTCTGATGCTGCATTTAGTACTCTATCTACCGTTGTGCCACTTACCTGCCTCTTGAAATCATCTTTAAAAAAAACTGAGAGAGATCTTAGATCAACTGATGTAGGGGGTCAGGAGGGAAGGAGTTAGCAGTAGTAATGCCAAAAAGAAAGGGCCATTCAAACTTTTTTTAAATTTCAGGGGCAGGTA